ACTGGATGCATAATACACTGTCCTGGTTAAAGGTAAAAGAAATATTTACAGTTTCCTTGCTAAATTTAACAAGAACTATCATTTTAACTAAATCTCCAAAAGTACTTTATTGTAAGTTGCACTTTAGTTCTGATGAGCACCATTATGCCACTAGACATGCTACAGAGGGTAGGTTTATACTACCCAAAGTATGAACAAATTATGGAAAGAGAACTACAGTATGTTGTATAAAGCAATGTTCTGTTGGAATACTTTGCCCAGTGACATTGTCAATGCACACAGTAAACGTCAGTTTAAAGTCCTTTTAAAAAGGCATTTGATTACGAGTTAACATGTATTGCGAATGGTAAATTGTATTACATTATAAATTATTGCGACAGTATCATGGCCAAACTGTATAAATTTATTTTTTGTAACAAAAGATTATTCATATCTGAGAATTAACTAGGTTTTGTGTATATGGGTGTATGTTGGTTTTGGATGTAGGTATGTGTGAGTAGGGGTGTGTGGGTTTTAATCTTTATTTCTATTTTTGTTTAGATTTGCAAAATGTAATGCACATGTAATCGCAAATGTAATGGTGTAAAAGTTTTGTAAGCGGCATGTTGGTTTGAATAGACTCCAGGAAGAGTAGCGGCTCGTGTGCAGCTAATGGAGATCGAAATAAATAAATAAATAAATAGATGGATTCTCAAATAGCTTACCTGATCTATCTAAGCTGCTAAGTGAACCCAAACAAACAGATGAATTAGAGGAAATGACTAGCAGTTTAAGCACCATTTTCACTAGTACATTAGATATTGTTGCACTAATTAGATTAAAAAAGGTTCGAGAGAAAATTAAAGCACCATGGTACAACAGTGCTACGCATACTATCAAGAGAGAAACTCGCAACTTAGAGCGTAAATGGAAACAAACTAATTTAGAGGTCTTTAGAATCACGTGGAAAGACAGTATGTCATGTTATAAAAAGACACTAAAAACAGCCAGAGCTGAGCATCTCCGCAAACTAATCGAAAATAACCAAAATAATCCAAGGTTTTTATTTAACACTGTGGCTAGACTAACAAATAAACAGACATCACCAGAGCAAAATATACCATATATACATACTAAATATACAGTTTAGTAGTAATGATTTTATGAATTACTTCAATGAGAAAATAGAAAGCATCCGAAACACAATTATAAATGTACAATCCTCTATGGTGTCTTCTATGATTCAGCTTCAATTATCGCCCCTCCAGAACAACTAAACCGCTTTACAACGATAGGACAGGAAGAGCTAAATAAACTTATCATTGCATCTAAACCAACAACATGTTTATTAGATCCAATACCCACTAAACTACTGAAAGAACTATTACCTGTAGTGGAAGAGCCTCTCCTCAATATTATTAACTCTTTTTTATCTTTAGGTCATGTTCCAAAAATATTCAAGCTGGCAGTAATAAAACCTCTAATTAAGAAACCACAATTAGATCCAAATAACTTGGCAAATTACAGACCCATTTCAAATCTTCCATTTATGTCCAAAATACTAGAAAAAGTAGTGTTCACTCAATTGTGCTCTTTTTTGCAAGAAAATGATATCTATGAAAAATTCCAGTCAGGATTCAGACCGCATCATAGTACAGAAACTGCGCTAGTTAAAATTACAAATGATTTACTTTTAGCTTCTGACCAAGGCTGTATCTCAATACTAGTCCTACTTGATCTTAGCGCTGCGTTCGACACTATAGATCATAAAATACTCTTGGATCGACTACAAAACTACACTGGTGTTCAGGGACAGGCATTAAGCTGGTTTAGGTCGTACTTATCGGACCATTATCATTTTGTCTGTTTAAATGGGGAAAAATCAAAGATAACGTCTGTAGACTATGGAGTACCGCAAGGATCGGTTTTAGGCCCTCTGCTATTCTCAATACAGTATATATGCTGCCACTTGGTAATATTATAAGAAAACATGGAATTAATTTCCACTGTTACGCTGACGACACTCAATTATATATTTCATCACGACCAGATGAAAACACTAACTCATCTAAAATGACAGAGTGTCTCAAAGATATAAAATGCTGGATGACGCGTAATTTCCTGCTATTAAATTCAGATAAAACGGAGGTATTACTTATTGGTCCAAAAAACTACTCACAAAACCTCTTACAATACAACTTTAATATAGACGGATGTCCTGTTACTTTATCCACAACAGTAAAAGACCTGGGTGTTATACTAGATCGTAACTTGTCTTTCGAAAATCATATTTCATATGTTACAACAACAGCCTTTTTCCACCTTAGAAACATTGCTAAGCTACGTAACATGCTATCTATTTCTGATGCAGAAAAGTTAGTTCATGCATTCATGACCTCGAGACTAGATTACTGTAATGCTTTATTAGCCGGTTGTCCTGCATCCTCATTAAACAAGCTACAGTTAGTACAAAATGCAGCTGCTAGAGTTCTTACTAGGTCAAGAAAATATGATCATATAACACTGATTTTATCATCTCTACACTGGTTACCTATTAAGTTCCGTATCAACTACAAAGTACTACTACTGACCTATAAAACCCTAAATGGTTTAGCTCCTATGTACTTAACGGACCTTCTTTCGCCCTACAATCCACCGCGTTCCTTAAGATCACTAAATTCAAGGCTTCTGGTCATTCCTAGGATATCTAAGTCCACTAAAGGAGGGAGGGCGTTCTCGTATTTAGCTCCAAAACTCTGGAATAGCCTTCCCGATACGGTCCAAGGCTCTGACTCGCTGACACAGTTTAAAACTAGATTAAAGACGCATCTCTTTAGTCAAGCATTCACATAATGCTTACCTCTTATTCCTCTGTTATGCCATACGGAACCGTTTGCCACTGAAACAGCTTAACACACCAGTGGGGCTAGACAGCCTTAGTCAAACGGGTCGGCGCATATGGTTGGGTTGCGGAGAGTTTGGGTTGCCGCGAGTTTGTGAGATAGTGGTTTTCGAACACCGACTCCCATATAATGGAAATCATTATGAACATCAGCTATGCTAATTATTTCCCATCTGCCTTTCTGCTGTTATCTCGGGACGCTTGTCCCGAGAAAAATGGCGTTCGTCAGGTCGTTTTGTATCCAGCCTCTCACGGGGATTTCGGATGACCCACCGCCTGTGATGAGAAGACTCAATGCCGGCGATATGTTGTGGCGCCGTTTTATATATAAACAATATTTATATTTAATATTTATATATAAACAATATGAATGTAAGCCAGAGGAGAACTGGGCCCCGACTGAGCCTGGGTTCTCCCAAGGTTTTTTTCTCCATCCAATCTGATGGAGTTTTGGTTCCTTGCCACTGTCACCTTGCCTTTGGCTTGCTTAGTTGGGGTTATTTAATATTTAATATTTAACAATATTATTGATCTGTGTTGTACTACTTTCATGTTATCACTGTGAAGCTGCTTTGATACAATCTGTATTGTGAAAAGCGCTATATAAATAAATGTGACTTGACTTGACTCCTCTACAAACCGTGGCATCTTCATTACAGTGGTTAAGGATGCAAGCAAAATAATATAATAGCTTATCTTCCTACACTAGGAAGACACTATTAATATAACATTATGAACAATAGGTCAGTGTATATAGATTAGTAATCAACAATGAAGAAAAAGTTATAAAACAACTAAACGAAAATGCCTAGAACAATAAATTATGAGTAAGACTTTAGATATACAAAGACGGTGCACTCATATTACAATGAATTACTATTACTATGAGAGTGCAATAGCTCAGGTTGCAGTAGAAACTCCTTAGATGCGCAAGATTAGGACTACACATGTTAATTGGCTGGTACAGGCTGAAATATCAGCTTTTTTAACGCTATTTGAGCATAAGAAGCAACATTTATGGGACAGTGAAATTCATGTGAGATTTTGTTGCTCATTTGAAATGTGTTGTTTAAATATGAGTGAGGCAAGCAAATTTTGAGATTTTAGGATTTCCCCATTAAAGTAGATAAAACTTGGTGTTGGATGCTGGGAGACGTTGCAAATATAGTAGCTGAGTGAACAGACTCTCCTTGATAAGGACTTTGGTTATGTTTTGAATAAAAATTGTTATGGTTACAATGTGACTGAACACTATTAATGTTTTGTATGTTATAATTAAATCTTACTGTGAAAAATGGCATTTTACAGTACATCGTTTTTGTTGCATTATTATAAATAGCCTGTACTCTGTATATTATCATCTTCTATAAGACAAGCTGCCCTGCCTCATCCTTTAAAAACACATATTTTCCTTCCCCTTGTGGCATCTTAAAATGTTTGTTTTTAGTGTTTCTCAACCCAAAAACCACACTGAAAAGAGATATCTGTGATGGATGGTTGACCAACCATCAATTATCTCTGGTAACAGCAATAATGTTGTGTTTTGGAATTATTCAACACTAAGTGCACCATTCTGCACAGCCCCATGACGCACTCGATAAAAAATGGTTGACTTGTTTTTGCATCAGTGTTTTAGTCTGGTTTCTGCATACCATGCAGCACCTCAGCTGAGCACTGATAGGTTTTACTGCACTGCGGCCATCTGCAGATGACGGCACTTATAACTTAACTTAGACCTTATAACTTTGAGCAATGGGGAAAGCCTAGAGTCAGTTGTCAGAGAAACTACAGGCCCCAGCCAGTCAGTTTTTGAACACCATGTGTGGGATTGCTTTTCATCCAAGGCAGTGGGCCCTTCTGCAAATCTGCTCAAACATACTGCCAGGAATAAAGAATGGTATAAAAACATCCTGCAAGAGCAACTTCTCCCAAAAATCCAGGAGCACTTTGATGATGGTCTGTGCATTTTCCAGTCAAGAGTGATAATGAGATGGCTTGGAGATAATTACATAGAAATTCTGGATCTGTGACCCGGCAAAATTTGATACTGCCAAAACTTTTGACTGTACTGTACTGTATTTGTCTGCAATAAGAAGTGACAACCACATAGATCTCAAACCTGTTTTAGCTCCTGTGCCTCTGCCTCAGTAACAGTGGGCTGAAGCACTTGAAGTTGAAGTTGTGTCAGTTCACCAGCAGGCACCTCCACTGGCACCTCTGTATCCTTTCCATGACCTGAAGTGACACAGAATGAGCTCATTTATTCCTTTGAGATTTGTTGTTAAGATAAGAAGAATGTTGGTAAATAGGCCTATTAACTAAGAAGCGCACAATGGGATCTCAGAGGGTTTTTAATGAAGTGCTGTTGATCTTGGAGCATGGCTGCCACCATATGGTAGAAATACTTTATAACGTTCAGGGTTACGTCTATCCATTGTCAGAATTTGAAAGTTTTCTTATGTGTGGCTGTAATAACTCTGCTTGCAAGGTACTACTGTATTGATATTTAAATCAGTTCAGTGGTTATCAACTCCGGTCCTGGGGACCCATCGCTCTGCACATTTATTTAACACACCTGATTCAGATCATCAGTTTGTCAGGAAAGAGCATTTGGTGTGTAAAAACAAACTGTGTAAAAATAGTAATACAAAAAATGTACACAGCAGTGGATCCCCAAGACCGGCATGGAGATTGTTATAGTTCTTTTTTCTAAACCGCTTACTCAAAGAAACAAAGATTTAGTTGCAAGATGCAAGTACAGAATCATTTGATGAAGAAAGCTATAAGAATACAACATTTATTAGAATTAGAAATAATAGTTTACTGTAATTTTTGATCTGTGGAGACATTAGCTAGTTCTCTAACTGTACCTGCACTCCAAATGTTTCCTCCACCTTCTGGGCTTCCTGGTGTGGTTGCCAAAGTTGCCTGAAATGCTGCATAGTCACGTGCGATCTCAACTTTCTTCTTGTACTGCATCTCCAATACAGATAAAGCTTCAGTCATCCTGGCAGAGAGAACTCTGAAACAGATGTCAGGTTTCCCAATGAAGCGTTGCCGAACACTGATCTCGTAGGGGTTGTGCACATGGATATCATCCACCTCTTCCTTCTCAAAGCAATGAAGGAGCTGTCCGTTTGCATCTCGAACCTCTAGAGAGGAGACCGAAACCACCAGGCTACCTGGTTTCATGTTTTTAGAGTTTCCAACACAAGAGATAATAGCTGGAATGCTGAGTATGACTTTTTGGCCCTTGCCTGAACCTTTAGTATAGGACACCTTGGCAGCTGCTTCAGACTTGGCCTCCTGTTGGCTCTTCCATGGCAGTTTTCCAAAAGGCCACCAAGGAGGACACTCTAGTTCAGAGAGTAGTCTGCACACAAGAGAATCAATGGCATTAAATGTAGAACTGTAAGAACTGTTGTAACTAGATAAATCATTCCTAGAAATACAACACATGACTGTAGGATACTGCAGCTGCTCAAAACATGTACAGTCAAACCAAGATTTATTCAGACCCCTCAACATTTCTCACATTATCACTGTTTATTTGCTATTAGAAAATGGTAATAAAAAATCAGTTGATATTTCACTGGTTTCGGCCACCCTTCTGTTTGACTGTCTCACAAATGAATTAGGTTGAATAGCTTTCAGATGTAAAAGTTTGATACACAATTAGATAATACTAATTTAGGTCAACAAATTACCAAGTGACGCTTAATGTTGTTCAGTCTGTTAGCAATTAAAGAAAAAAACACTTAAACAAAATATGGACAGGTCAATGTGTCCGAATAATTTTTGGTCCCAAATGTTTATCAATTTTACTGGTAGTCCACGGTATGAAGAATTGTTGGTTATTATGTCACAGTTTACTTTATTTTGCTATCCTCATATTACTATCCTCATGTTATACATTAATGAACTATAGTGTCCGGCACCCACTAGTAAAAAAAATATCAAAAATTATATCTGGTGTCTGAATAATTTTTGTTTTGACTATGTATCAATCAATAGTGTATGGAAGAACCATAGAAGAACCATTTTTGGTTTCCCAAAGAACCTTTCAGTGAATAGTTCTTAAAAAAAACAATCATTTATTCTTAGTGTGAAGAACATGTTAAAAATCTAAAGAACATTTTAAGGAATGAATGAATAAACTTCTTTTTTTTTTCTTTTTGAAAGGTTCTTTGGATGTTAAAGGTTCTACATGAAACCACAGATGCCAATAAAGAACATTTATTTTCAAGAGTGTATCTACCAAAGTTGAATATTTAGGATTTGGAATCTGAGCAAAACCTACTTATCTGCCACACTCAAGTCTGATTCAATCTTGTCCAGGCCCTGAATCATGTTGTCAAACTGCTCTCCCTGGTGGTACAGGACTTTTCCAGTATCCTCCAACCTCCGTTGAGCTCCAGACATCAGGCTGATCAGCTCCTGGCCCTTACTGAGAGGAGCTTCAGCTCCCTGTGGCTCTGTGGGTGACAGCAGCCGTTCTCTCCAGAAGTGCACTAGCACATGGAAAACGGTAGTACGGCAAGGCCTGAGAGACCCAAACCAGTGCTTGATGTTTCCCTGCTCCAACACAGTAAGAGCACTAAAGATTAGGCTGGAGGACTCCATCTTAATCTCCATGATTCGCGAGAGCCTTAGGCTAGTCAGATTCTCTTGTTTTTCCTCAGAGGTGAAGCGCAGGGTGGTGCGGGTTAAGGAGAGAATACCACTGGCCCAGCGTTTCTCACTGTTGATGTAATAAGAGCCGGGCCAACTATGGATGGATACCTCCTGGCTCATCTTTTTGTGATGATTTGGAACTACCCTGACTTAGGGAGGTCACCTGTCAAGTGAGCGATGTAAATAATAAATTATTAAGTAATCATCACCAGACACTTCTATCTACATCAAAAGTATATTATTTCCTCACCCTCATATTGTTCTAAACCTGTACAGGGGGTCCACTGGATGTAAAATTATTTAAAATAATAGATTATTATTATTTAATATAAATATATTCAAACAAACTAACTTAATAAATCAATATGTGAACGGAATCTTTTTTGTCTTCTTTTTTTAATTTAAGAACAGCAGAATTTTACACAGTCTAAACTGTTAAGTCAAAGATCATCATGATATTTATTTAATTGACATAAAGTGACCGAAAGTTTGCACAGTCTAAACTGTTAAGTCATCATCGTATATTTAAGACATTGACAGATCTGTATGTACAGATCAGATATATCCTACAGTTCTGTTAACGATATTATAGTTGGCCTTCGAGTCAAAAAAAGAGATGGAAATCTCTGCTTCAGAAACAGATCATGAAATGCCTGTAGAACACATTGAACGTATTGCTAATGTATGTGAGACATGAAACCAACACAGTACAGAAAAGTAGCCTAAAATTATTTAAAGACCATCATTTACATTTATTTTTCAAGAGGTTCTGTATGCGCAGTAACAGTATGCTAGTGTGGTTGGCATTACATGTAATAAGGAAATAAACATAATTTATGTCATACCTTTATGATGATTTTGACTTTCAACTGACAGCTACGACAGGTTGTGACGTAAATCAAGCATTAAGATAAACAACATCCCTTCACATCGTAAATAATTGGTTTGAAGTTCTCTGAAGGGTAAATCTCAGTCGGAAGCGAGACGTTTGCTGTTCCAGCTTAATGTTTCTCGGTATAAGAAGAAAAAACGCTAAAACAACATATTCCGGTCCCCTGTCGCATTGTATCGATGTAAACTATTTATGGTGTAAACCAAAGGCGGAACACAGCGGAGATTGTTTGGTGCGCTCATGTTTACACTCCGACGTGCAATATGAATAATTAAAGATTCCGCGCAAATGGTGATGGAGTATCATACATATCTATTTAAGGAAATTTACCTATAGTTATTTAGAGATAATTAACTGATATTTAAAGAAGTTTTTATTTTGTTTTATTCTTTACGCACGAACTCGAGCTGATTGGAACTCGCACACTGAGTTGGTGTTCACGCGTTTTTTTTCCGGGTGGGCAACTGGATAGCCATTTTCAAAACTGGCGCAGAAAAACACTACTATTTTCGACTTGTATGCAAATAGAAAACATTAATCGGTTTGTATCGAAATTTGAATTACCCGTAAGCGTGAAGCTGCACCGTCGAAACGATTAGTTGGGCTTCTACAGCCTAAATATAACCACGCAAACCGGTCACTGGAAAGGAATGAGGCTGTTGAAATGTGTTGGCATTATCTTGAACTTATAATGTATAATAATGGAATAACGTTTTTAATTTTGTTTTTAATGGAATATCGTGCGGAAATGTTAATGTTAGTGAATAAACAAGGCTGAGCTCCTTTCTGAGATGTCATGGATAGGGAAACCTTTCATAATTGCTGCAGTTTGGCCAAAATGCCCAGGCAGATCCATCAACAGCACTGCTCCTCTTATTTCATTGAGTACATAGAGAGAGAAACACCTTACTTTAAATTCTTCAAGAAGTATCTGATTCCGAATCAACCATGCATGTTCTCCAAAAAATTCACAGAAGATTGGAACTGCAGAAAAAATTGGGTCACGGTTGATGGAAAACCAAATTTACAAAGACTTCTGCGTGAATTTGGTGAGCAAAGAATGCTATTCTAATGTATTTTATTATACTTGCATTAACATGTCACATATTATAAGATGTGGACTTATTATGGACTTATTCTGTCATTTGTCCACAGAAAAAAATGACTGCACATTACAGAAATGTAATATTTCCCTATGCTCATTTGAAACATGCATTGCTGTTGACATTACTGATTATAATTACTTATTTGACTTATATAAAAGATTGTAATGTCATTTTGCTGTATATTGGTGAGTATCAATTTTTAAAAGTTGGCCAATTGAAAATAGTACCAAATCATGTATCCTAATAATGCATATCCTATCATGTATAACTGTGTCCTTAATAATTATATAATGTAATAGCCTAATTTTATTATACAGATGAGACTCCTGTTCCTGTTGCAAACTGCAGTGCAAAAGAATATAATTCCAACCCAAAGCAGATCATGCCTTTTAAGGAGTTTATCCAGTACTGGAGGGAGTACATACAGAATGGGCATTCTTCACCCAAAGGATGTCTTTACTTAAAGGACTGGCATATGCAGAGGTACAAGCATATAACCTAAGCTATTGCACAATATGTAGTAGTTTTGAATGGAATTAATAAGATTAGCTTGGAAACGTTGTATAAAATTCAAGGACGTTTATATGTCAAATATGTTTGTTGATTTTAGGAACTTCCCTGAGCATAATACTTACAAGAACCCAATTTACTTCTCCTCTGATTGGTTGAATGAATATTGGGACACATCTGAAGTGGATGATTATCGTTTTGTCTACATGGGACCTAAGGGGTCATGGTACCGTATGAATAAATGTCCACATACAGTTGGGTATAAAAGTCTGTGTTCATTTTGAAAGTCTGGTCAGTTTTTGTATTTTGAAAACCTAAATGTACAACAAAGGAACATTATGATGTAAAGTGAAGAAATATTTATGATTCTGCATTATTTGCAAAGTAATTTGCACAAAAGGTCAGATTCCATTGAAATACACAAAATGCTGTTTGGAACATTATTAAATAATTCAAATAGTTTGTCTTTAAAGCACACCAAGGGCAAACTACTAAAAAAAAACATACGTATGTTTTTTTTTTTTGTATAATTATTTGTATTGAAGTGTTATATTAAATTTGAAGGTTATAGAAGCATATTCACAAGACAAGTGTTCTCAGACTTTTGAACCCCAATGTAATTATAAGGCATTTTAATATAGTTTGTGCACTCCTTGCCATATGGTGCATTTGTTTGTTTGTTTTATAAAGTCAAAATATTTTACTAATTGTATTTTACTAATTTTATATATACTGTATGAGCTACTTGTCACCCCTTTGGATGTCTATAGTAACATTTTTGTTCTTGCCTCTAGGACACCTTTCCATGCAGATGTATTTCGCTCTTACAGTTGGTCTGCCAACATCTGTGGACGCAAGAAATGGCTTCTGTACCCTCCAGGCCAAGAGGAGTTCCTCCGGGACTGTCATGGTAACTTAGCCTATGATGTAACAGCACCCGTACTTCAAGACAAAGGGCTGTATGCACAGTTTGAAGAGGCCTGTCAGCCTTTAGAGATCATTCAAGAAGCTGGGGAGATAATCTTTGTACCTAGTGGTTGGCATCATCAAGTTTACAATTTGGTAAGTAATAATAGTTTAATGGTGTCCAAATATGTAATATGTATTATAACAGGGGTGTCCAATTTTTGTCCTGGAGGGCCAATGTCCTGTCTCATGTACTTCGAGGAACAATATTGCTTAGTATGTTGCACAAGTGGCCACTACTGAAGGGAAAATACAAAAAAGCAACAAAATTATCATAAAAACAAAACATTTTATTTTAATCCAAATCTTCAGAACCCATATTATTGTGAGACCCAAATTCAAGCCTTTAATCACAGATCTTCATCTCCATTCTTAGCAGTGACGGAAAACAAAAAATCCCACACTTACGAATTCAAAATTTGCAGCCTCAAGAAGCTTTACAACAAAATATATCAAATGCTTATTGGCTCACTGGATAAGATTTTCAGTGATTACCAATTTAAATGGGTAATAATATCCGCTCTTTACACAAAACTATTATAAACAGACTGGGAATGCAACATCGTCATTGGACATTTTTTTGCAATAAATCAATTGTGATTATATGTTTGTCTTATGTTTTTCTTTATACTGTATTTTAAAGAAAATGGCTATGGTTTAGAGGTGTGGGCAAACAAAAATTTGTTGTGGGCCATGACAAGACGGCCCCCGTGGTTAGACCTGTTTTGCAATACCATAGAAGTAATCACTGAAAAAAATGAGGAAAAATAAACATGGTCAAGTAACTAAACTTGGACTACTTGAGATGGATTGAACCAAAAGTAAAGTGATTAGATGGCTCAGGTGTGTTTGATCAAGTTTGGAGGTAAACTTTTCAGGATAGTGGCCCTCCTGGAGCAAAATTGAACACAAAATTGAAGATGATATCAAACTATAGGAGCGCCTCAGGCGTGAACGTCTGTCAGATTAACAGACCAATTGCTACAACAATCAGGGAGTACCGCTTCCTTAGTATATAACTGGCTGTAGCCCCCTACTGCGTCATTCTCGCTTTCTTTCCTGTAAAGATGAAACATTATTGCATTTACCATTTAACAGTTCATAGATGGAGTTGATCGGTAACATCACAAATGCATTAAATCCTATTGTAAAGTATTACTGGGCACTTCAGGGTTATTTCTATTCAGCACATTTTTTTTCTACAGTGAGCATTCAGTAAAACATTTTTCACATCCCAGTAAACCTTGTGTACCTTGTGTACACTAGAGTGTATTAAATGAAAACAATCATGGATTTTACATTAGTATTACAACCATGATTAATTGTTTGCAACCTTAATTTTTTATGTTGTGTCTGTTCATTCAGAATATCTGCAATACAGGAGTGGTTTATTTCTCACTGTGAGACATCGAACGGATGATAGAACGAGAACGTTAAGTTACTTGCATAATCCTGTTTCTCACCTAACCGCCCTTCTTGCAGACTTACAAGATATGAAGATAAGCTGAGAATGATGCGACAGCGGGCTGCAGTGAGTTATATACTAGGGAGGCGGGGCACTGTGATCGCTGTACCGATTGGTCTGTTAGTCAGGTGGTGTAATTGGAGCTTCCGCAGTCGGTCACGCCTGTTTTGTTCCCATAGTACTTCATACTTCACTTTTGTTATCTGAAAACAAGGGTTATGTAAGTAACCTACTAATAGTATAAGCTTGTGTTTTTTTTTTTTTTTTGTTGTTTTTTGACTGTTGTAATTCTATTTATATTATTATAAAATCTGTTCCCTTTTGTTGTCACTCCGAGTTCCGTCTGATGACGAGGAATGGGGTTTCGCTTAGAAAGCCTATCGACTTTGAGTATTACAAAACGAGCCAGTGGCAAAGAATAGCGTTTTGCATAGCTTATCTATCTCCGCATTACCTCGTGGGTATAAAAAGCAGGATGCCTCAACATGCAGGTATGTTTTCGCTTCAGAGCCAAGAGTTTTCTTCACTTCTGCAGCCTATTCTCTGATTATCTTTGAGAATTTCTAGACGAGCAGCTTCCAGTTGGTGTTGGTGTGATGGTGAGTTCCAGCGAGTTTCATTTTCCTGCCTGCTGAACTGAACAGCGTGTGTGTTTCTCCCTGGGCGCTTCAGCTCTGCTAGATTCAACTGATGGGTGCGAGCGCTGTTTTGACGTGTTTGGAATTCGATCGCGCTCAGACAGCGCTCGTGGGTGTGTCACGTTCTCCCAGTGGGAACATGACCATTGCAATGTAACGGTCAAGACTCGATGAGCTCAATAGAGATCCCCTCATCCACATCCCGATCTATTTTTCTCCACGTGAGATAATACTTCGGCTGGTGGCCAGGGTGACCTAAGATGGTAGGTCTGGAACTAAACCGATGAAAATTCCTCGGCCCACACCCTGTCTTTCACATTGCAGCCCACGTGTTCCTGAGTGAGTTTGCGGACCCGCGGTCTCATTCGGTCCCCCGACTGATAAAATCGTGTATATCGCCGCATCACAAGGTGAGCTGGAGTCCTCTAGAGATGATGGCTCGTCTGTGCTGCTGTCCTCGGATGTGCTAGCATAACAAGTTTGATCCAGAGTTCCCAGCCATGCTTTCCCAAGATTGAGTGAACCCGTTTCCTCAACTCTTCCATATCCCAGGCTGGCTATCCCAGGCAAGGACTCTGCCCAACAGTATCCCAGGCTATCCCAGGCAAGGACTCTGCCCAACAGTTCTCGGCCGCCCAGAAGTGGACTGTGGCTATTTTGTCTGACCCCGCGGCCATCTGCTTCCAACCAGCCGCCGGCTCAGACGCCTCAGTCAGCTTGCCACCGAATGCGCCCTCCTGCGACTTACACCCCCTCCCCTTCTCCGAGCCTGTGTCCGCCCATGTACTCGCTTTAACGTCGATCCCACGTCAGGGATCTCAGATTTACGCAGGGCACTGGAAGACAGCTGTGAAGGTGGCCTGATTAGACTGGTATCCCCATTCGTCGTCATCTGACGGAACTCGGAGTGACAACGAAAGTTCAGACTTCCTGCCACCTTCCACTGTAACGCTAAAACAGCCGAGTTCAGTCTTGGCTCCTCAGCGAAGAAACATACCTGCATGTTGTGGCGTCCTCCTTTTTATACCCTCCTTTTTTTGCTATGCAAAATCCACAGACCCACGGCATTTCTTTGCCATTGGCTCCTTTTGTAATACTCAAAGTCGATAGGCTTTCTTAGCAAAAACGTTCGTCATCCAACGGAACGTCTCGGTTCCTTACTCAGGGAACGAGGGTTATATACGCAACCGAGATGTTATATCTATCTAAACATGCATTTTTAAGGCATACAATTTGAAATTGCTGCAGTTGTTCAGTAGGTCTCTTGGTCAGTAGGCTCTGGCTTGGAGACCCACAGTACTGCACAGGTTGAATGTCTCACTTAGTTACACACTTTTTTCTCACATAAGCCCCTTTCACACAGAGATTCCGGAAAATACATGGATAATGTGACCCGGCATTTGTCCCGGGATTCTTTGATTTCGGTTCATTCACACTGCCAGTGATTTACCCGGATCTGTGAGTACGTTCACACACAACCCGTAAAAATCCCGGGAAGACACATGATGTCAGGAATCAAAACATGTCAAACATGTACACGCGCATACCGTTCCACAAAACTGGTGAACGATCTCAGCATCAGCGCGGATAGTGAGGAGCTCCTGGTCTCTGCTTCGTTCCAGTTTGCAGACATTTGTTCGTCCTTTTTTGTTGATGATAAACACAAACTTCTAAGAGCAACAGAGTCGCGCGATGGCACGACCGTCTTTACTATGACACACCCCTTACGGCATTGGTCCTGGCTTTTGTTCACACAGCGCGCTTTCCGGGACTAATTTCGGCAATGTTACTAGGTCCCCAACCCGGCATCGATGCCGGTATCAATCCCGGGTCGTGTTTGCGTTCACAAAGAAGGCGTTCAGGCAATTTCCCGGAATCAACGCACTGTGTGAAAGGGGTTTTAGTTACTTTGCAGCTTTTTTTTGCAGAGAGCTGCATGAACTGGATTTGGTCTGTCAGATATGAGAGACATACAAAATGTACAGTGCTGTGCCTAGGCCCCAGGACTGGAGTTGAAAACCACTGCTCTAGCTTTATATGGGTGAATCTAATGAAACTTGGGTCTTATTTCACTCAGTCAAAATAAAAATTGTATTTTGCTTAAAGAAGTAAAGTAAAATATTATTTTTGATATTTTGAAGACCCTGTCCCTAGTTATTATAGTATGTTAAAAACCTTTTTTTGACCAGCCTGCCATCTCAGTTTCGATAATGTATCTCTTAATAATAGGAGGATACCATTTCCATCAACCATAACTGGCTGAATGGCTGTAATTTGGACATCATGTGGCAGTTCCTGCAAGATGAACTTTCTTCTGTCCAGAGAGAAATTGAGGAATGGCGTGATACTATGGACACCTGGCATCAGCATTGTCAGGTAACTGTGTTTATTTTTTTACTAAAATGTTGGAAATTATTTACAAAAACAATATTTCATCACCGCTCCACCTCAGCGAACAAATAGGAGAAAGAGAAAAAACACGTAAACATTTGAAATGGGCCGCTATTGTAGCAGCAATATTACAATTTTAAAATATGTAGGCTATTGTGAACAACATTAAAAACACAAACGAAGCAGCTATATTTTTTAACCCATGTAAATAAGGTGCAGGCTGCATTAACTTGTTTCTGCTAATTTCCATATTTTTTAAAATGATATCCTTTTGAGAGAAAATGCAAGGCAAAAATATATTTAAAATATAGCATAGTAAAAATATGGAAAAATATAGTGCGTCTATCTTTTGCGTCTATTTTTATTTTAAAATAATTGATTTAAATAATAAAATAATATATAGAACATTATTTTCCTAGTTTTAAATGAAATACAAATATATTTGCATTATTCCAAGCATATGACATTTTATTACAGACAATTATACGACTGACCACGTGAGCAGCGCATTCCAACATAACAATTCCAACAAAAAATGGCCAGGCCAGAACAACAAACAAAAGATCACTACCTGATTGTAGAAAGCCTAATTAACCTGCAGAAACAAAGGCAAATAAACAAAATAACTGTTACCTTGCTTCCTAAATAGAAAACAAAGGAGAAAATGAGAACAGAAGAAAATGGCACCCGTCTCCCTACTGCTCCTTCACTCATTAGTGGATAAATGACAACATTAAGGACACTCGACTAGCAATGTCTCAACACTCTCACCCTCTTGGGAATCCTGCTTTAATACTGGCTCTTCTTGACATTGACGTGGAGCAGCTTGCAGATTCCATCACTAGATTTAGGAGAGGGAGGAGCACAGAAAACCAGACAAAACATAGAACAAAAACTACAACTCCCAGTTGGGTCATTGACAGCACACACAGTACAAAGAATGACAAGTTCTCCATAATTATAGAATACAAATGTCACAGTGTCTGGTTTGTGTTATCCACTAGACTAGGTCCTCTTCCCCACGGTGTAATCCTTTCATGTCATCCTGCATTCCCCTCAATCCTTGTCTGTACCAATCACTGTTCATTGCACTCAGCTGTTCCCCATAATCATTGTACCCAGCTGTTCCTTGTTTGTTCTTTGTTAGATCTGTGTGTATATATTCCCTGTCTGTGTCAGTATGTGTTATGGAGTCGTTGTTATATGTCACACCAACCTATCCAGCGGTATGTTTAGTAATATCAGAGAATGTCTAATTGAAGAGAATTGGCACTGGCTGGTTACTTCCGGGTTCTGGACTGGCTGCAGTAACGCGTCTCTGTCCATGCGGGGGCGCTCGTGGTCGAGTGCAGAATGAATGGGAGTCAATGGGGTTTCACCCCCAGAAATCCACTTTTCTCAGGATGTAATATTTTGTCAAGTAATTTGAAAGTTGCATTCAAAAGGGAGGGATTTGCATTTTTTTTTTAGTTCACTTATCTGTTCTAAAAATCTGTTCAAAAATGTGATGACAACAGAATGCTAGCGTGTTCCGGCCAACAACAGCATAACCTGTAAGAAATCGAAAGGACATAAGCACTTGTTCGTTCGACTTTTGGCCTATAATCTATATTGAACTTGCGGAATCAACAATAAAATCTATTTTGATTTAACGACAAGCAGGTGAAAGAGACACATTTAGCCGTTTAGCCCCATAGACTCCGATTCATTCTGCACTCGCCTGCGATCACCTCCAGTGGAATTCTAATGGAACTGCAACCAAGATGATACACAATGGGGCTAATAGGAAGTGCCAAGGCTCTCCGTTAGATGGGCTCTGGTAATATCTCTTCCCCAGCCTCTAAAAGTTTTTTAAGGGGACCCGGTTGGTCTAGTTTCGCGGGACCCATGGAGGTCGCAGTGATTAGTACAGACAAGGATAGTGGGTAATGCAGTTCATGAAAGGATGACCCCGTGAGGAAGAAGTATCCACCCGGGGAAACCCGGGAACCAGGATATCCTAGTGGATACCCGGGGAAACACAAACTAGACACTGTGACAACAAATGCATATGTCCTGAGACGTTATCCTATGAAATATAAACTTGTTTCTCTGAGACCAATAAGGTAAACCTTATTCTGAATCAGAAAATAAGCTGAATGATTATTTGTTATTTACTGGTATCAGCTATACAAAATAATAATAATAATAAACTTTATTTTATAAAGCGCCTTTAAAAGCAACTTCTCAAAGCGCTGTACACAAAATAAGTAATACAAAGGTCAAATAATAAAAGTAACATCAACCATGAAATTCTTATTTATAAAAATATGCCGTAAAGGGGTCATGAACTGACTTTTTAAATTTTATTATATTGTTGTCTGAGGTCAACTTACAGTAGGTAGACAACCAGAATGTGGTTTTTACCTGCGGCGGTAAAAGTTGAGGTGTATTTGCTGCCTTTGGCCGCTAAGAGGCGCTACAATCACAGACTTTGAAAAGTGTCCGTTTTTTTGTGTAATCTTCAGCTGCGCCGCAGCTCTTTCAGAGCAATTGAAAGATGGTAGCAGATCAATTCAAGTGAAACGTAGTTAAATTAATTAATCACAATACTGAAATTAAATTGAAAAAATAATGAAACCTTAAAACATTGCAGTCGAAACATATTAGGGTACATCAATGAGGCTTTACAATCGTATAAGACAACAATGCATTAGTAGTCTAGCGATAGCTGTGTGGTTAACGCATCATCCTCAACCTCATCGACCTCCAAACGACGTGAGATCGAACCTCGTTACATGCTGTTGACCGACAGCTTTTATGTTTTAGCCTACCGTTCTTGAAGCTTAAACAGATAGCTGTTTATTAGCGAGTTTATTAACTGTTTATTTAGGCCTACTTAAAGTGTCCGACTTAATTTGCCACTTCTCATTGAGAGCTGAGGTCACAGATAAATTCAAGGTTAACACTCTAGCCTGTACTTTGGGAAGGGTGGGACGTGTCCCCACCACTTTTTGCCAGGGTCGATAATATTGTCCCCACCACTTTTGAAATCTTAGCTAACCGCATTCGTTTCATTCATCTAGTTCTGAAATGTGTTGTCTTTAATCGGACGTGAAATCACAAATCAATCCGAGGCGACGGTTTTGCAATCCGTCCGCTCAGTTTATAAACTGTAGGCTACACTCACGGATTCTTAAACTGTTCCCTCGGGTTTAACAATTCGTGCCCACGGATTAATAAACCATACCCACGAGTTCCTAATCCGTGCTCTCAGATTTGTAAACCGTGCCCTCAGTTTTTGAAATCTGTACCCACAAATTCATAAACCGTGCCCAGGATTTCGCAATCCGTACTCACGGGTTTGTAATCCGGACTCGCGGATTTGTGGCTCGTTCGTCCCCAAGAATGTGCCGCATAATTCAACCAGGCCTCCTGTTTAGATGCGGGATGCATTGTTTTTAAAGAGCATATTGCAGGAAAAAAAAAATCGAAATTAATAGATAACCTTGTATGAAAATACCATATGAAAAGTTAATGCAGGATTTAAAATGTTTTAAAACAACATAAGGCCACTAATTTAGTAGATAAAGTGAGCGTTTCTTGGACTGCTAGTAAAAACGTCTTTTTTTTCCAACATTGCGTCATTTGACGTAATATCAGGGAGCCGCAGCCTCAGCTCAGTGAAGAGTAGGCTGGTATTCAGTGAGCGCGGTCGTCTGTCAGTGTGCTTTCGGTACTTTTTGTATTTTATTTATTTATTTTTTTTTATTTAACCTTTGTTTAACCAGGTAAAATCAGTTGAGAACAAGTTCTCATTTACAACTGTGACCTGGCCAAGACAAAGCGAAACAGTGCAATGAAAAACAACACAGAGGTAGACCTAAAAACAAACAAAACATAAATTTAAAAAAAAATCCTTATAGAAAATCATAATATAGTACAAAATACAATTAATTGTAAATATGAATAACAAACATGCAATCAGTAAACCAACCCATATGTAAAAGCAAAATATAATTTAAAAATAAGCACTATAAACAAGTGCAGTGATCGACAAACAGCTTTGACAGTTGATGTTTAAAATTGGTAAGGGAAACAGGAACCTCTAGTTTCAAGGATTTTTGCAATTCATTCCAGTCATAGGCAGCAGAGAACTGGAAGGAATGGCGACCAAGAGAAGTATAAGCCTTGGGGACAGCAAGTAAAATATACCTATTAGAGCGCATACTACGGGCGGATGCTGCTATGGTTACCAGGGAGCTAAGATAGGGCGGGAATATGCCTAATAAGGACTTATAGATGAGTTGAAGCCAATGTATTCGGCGGCGAGTATATAATGAAGGCCAGCAAATAAGTGAATAAAGATTACAGTGATGAGTAGTGTATGGAGCTTTGGTAACAAAACGGATAGCACTATGATAAATTACATCCAGTTTACCAAGTAGAGTTTTAGAGGCCATTTTGTAAATAACATCGCCAAAATCAAAGATTGGTAAGATGGTAAGTTTTACAAGGGAATGTTTGGCAGCATAGGTAAAAGATGCTTTATGACGAAATAGAAAGCCAATTCTAGATTTAATTTTGGATTGAAGATAATTGATGTGAATCTGAAAATCTAACCACACTCCTAAATATTTGTAAGAGTCCACATATTCTAAAACAGCCCCGTCAAGAGTAGTGATGTTAGTCTGGTTGGCAGCTATGGGCAAAGTTCGATTAAAAAGCATGCATTTAGTCTTACTAGCATTTAGTAACAGATGGAGGTCACGAAAAGCATATTGTATGGCATTGAAACTAGTTTGAAGGTTAGTTAACACACAATCCAAAGAGGGGCCGGATGTATATAAAATGGTGTCGTCTGCATACAAATGTATCAGCAAGTTACCAGCAGCACTAGCAACATCATTAATGTATATAGAAAATAGTGTCGGCCCGAGAATTGAACCCTGGGGCACACCCATAGAGACTGCAAGAGGACTGGACAGCAGACCCTCCGATTTTACACATTGAGCTCTATCTCGGAAATAGTTGGAAAACCAGGCAAGGCAATCACTTGAGAAACCAAGGCTATTTAGTCTGCCAATAAGAATATGATGGTTGACAGAGTCGAATGCCTTTGCAAGATCTATGAAGATGGCGGCACAGTAATGTCTCCTATCAATAGAGGTTATGATGTCGTTAAGTACCTTAAGCGTAGCTGAAGTACATCCGTGACCAGCTCGAAAACCAGATTGCATAGCAGAGAAAATACGATGAGATTCAAAATATTCAGTAATCTGTTTATTAACCTGGCATTCAAAGATTTTAGCAAGACATGGCAGGATAGATATCGGTCTATAACAATTTGGATCTAGAGTGTCTCCCCCTTTGAAGAGGGGGATGACCGCAGCAGCTTTCCAGTCTCTAGGGATCTCACATGATACAAAAGAAAGGTTGAATAGGCTGGTAATCGGAGTTGCAATTATTTTCGCAGATAATTTTAAAAAGAAAGGATCCAGATTGTCAAGACCAGCAGATTTGTAAGGATCCAAATTTAACAGCTCTTTCAAAACATCAGCTGTCCGGATTTGAGTAAAGGAAAAATTAGGACGGCTTGAACAGGTTGGTGTGGGAGGTACAAAGCTTGTGGCCGGGATAGGAGTAGCCAAATGAAAAGCTTGACCAGCCGCAGCAAAATGCTTGTTAAAATTTTGGATTATCGTGAATTTATCTGTGGTAACAGTATTTTCAAACTTTAATGCAGTGGGCAATTGGGAGGAGATATTCTTATTCTCCATAACCTTCATAGTATCCCAGAACTTTTTGGAATTAGGGCCACAGGATGAAAGTTTCTGTTTAAAAAAACTTTCCCTAAAAAGTTGCATATCACGGGGACTTTTTGATGCTAGTGCAGTGCGCCACAAGACATTCTTATGTTGATTTAGTGCAGCCAAGTCTGGGGTGAACCATGGGCTAAATCTATTCTTAATTCTCATTTTTTTTAAAGGAGCATGCTTATTTAATATGGTAAGAAAAGTACTTTTAAAAAATAACCAGGCATCATCTACTGACGGAATGAGATCAATATCCTTCCAGGACACCCGAGACAACTCAAATAAAAAGGCCTGTTTACAGAAATATTTTAAGGAACGTTTGACAATAAAAAGGGGTGATCGTTTGACCGGAAACCCACTTCGAACACAGGCAATTAAGCAATGATCGCTCAGATCCTGGTCGAAAACAGAGGAGGTATAATTGTGGGGCATGTTAGTCAGAATTATGTCAATAATAGTACCCGCATTTACGGATTTAGGGTTGTACCTGGTAGGTTCATTAAT